TTAAACTCTTAAACGATCTTTGTCGAACTCCTTGGTATTTTTTTTAATGCATCCAGTCGCAGATAAACGTTTATATGTGATCTAAATATATATACAGGGGATTTTGCCTACAGTGGAATTATCCTACCGGAAAAGTGAACATAGTAAACCTCTCTACTAAACTAAGTTCTTCAAGATCCTGATTGAAACACTCCAAGAGAAAAATCAAAAAACTGCGTGAACGTTTTGGAAAAGTAAAAGAACTGATTATTTTGTACACAAGAGCGAATAACAATTAAAAACAAAAACTGCGAAACTGCAAAACAAAACAAAACAAACAGGAAATAGGCAAATTCAAATAAATCAAATTAAAAATCAACAAACAGCATACACATCTGACAGAGACTACAGTTACAATACCTTTTATTGACATTCTTCCCGAAATATGTTGCTGGTGTGGGTCAAGGGCAAGTCAATGAAATAAAAAAGAACAAGACAGAAAATAAGACAACTATTTTAGCCTTATTATTGACCTACCAAAGGTGAGGGTGGAGGCAAAAGAGGCATTTTATTGATTGAGAGAAAAACATTGGGGGTCCGTTTTATTTTCCTTCCTTCTAATAGTATATTTTAGAAAGGGCCATTAAACATTGCGTGACAAAAAATTAAAATTTTATGGGTCCACCCTTCCCCCACAAAATAAAGGTTTCTTAACCTTTAGTTAGTTACACGTACTTCTAATTAAACTGTGTGCTGCTTAAAATAAAAGCTAAACAAAGGATAAGGAAAGACCCATCACCAGTTAGTTTAAAAATCATTAGCCAGATTATGTGTAAAAATAAATAAACTCCAGTACTACAAGGCATTAGTACATCAAATGTATGATGCCAAACACTGTATGGTTGCATCTGAAAGAATACTGCTAGTTTAGAAGTTTCCTGTTGATGCCTGACTTGCATCTCTGCCATTATGGATGATTAAGCAATGTTGTTTAACAGATTGATACGTAAAACCATCCTTTTCTCTAATTGGGCTGATGGTTCTCTGAGCTTTCTACACGTTCTGGCACTGGATTTGTGAATAAAATTAACAAGCTGTCTTTGGAATGAACTACTTATTCAGAAAAAGGGATAATGATTCACCTCTTCATTCAGCAACACCTTCAACATGTCTATGTTCCCTATTTACAATAAATTTTACAGCAGTGGTGCAGTTTTTGGACTGCTTGTCACACCACTGCTGGGTTGTTATACAAGACCTTGATTTTTATTTAGAATACAGAATCACAACACAACAACATCATGATGTTCATATACATAAATAAAGGGAAATAATCACTGGGTATAAGACCAGATGACCAAGGAGGCCATTCCACAGCATCATTGAGGGAAAATCACTCTGCCTTCTTCGGACTGCGATAAGACAATGACCTGCGGCACTGTCCTGTGACCAGCACAGACATCTCAAGACATCATGGCCCAGTTGTACAAGTTGCTTGCACTTAAGCACATAAGGGAAGATTTTATGTGCTTTTGATGGCAATACACTTAACCCCACACACTGGAAAAAGGTGTTTAACTTTTGTTATGACAGGCTAATAGCTTTTATTTATCTGTGATTATAGAGATCAATTGAGAGCTCATAAACTAAGCTTTCCAATGCAACCATACTTGAAATGGTCAGCTTCAGAAGTTCAGCGTACCAATCCATTACCAATCAATCACCAATCCATTTTGTATTGCTATTTTTTTCATTTTTGATACACCTTAAAGATATAATTTTAGACATAAATTAAACTGACCAACGCACAAATTTCTAATTAAAAAAAGTTTATGACAAAGATCCAGCTTCTTATTTCCTTCATGAATATGCCACACTCAAATATCACGCACAAATAAGCATTGGGAAAATGTGGAGGCAATGAAGGGCTCTATGGCACAAGCACAGGGAACACACACCTGCAAAGGTTGGTGCATGGAGTTTGATGCAAGGGATGCCTGCAATTTCATCGAAGGCTTTCATAGCTACAATGTGCAGCACGTTGGTAAACGTTCCTGGTTTTGCCACATTTTCACCAATATCACTGATACTGCAATATTTTCAGCAATTTTCCAACCCACACTCTTGCTTTTTTATGCATGAACATTTGTGTAAGAAACCAATTATGATGAAACATTCGACTGCTAGAGGTTGATCTCAATTTTGTGACAGATTCCTTGGCTCTGACTCACGAGTAGCCACACTGGCAGCAAATCGTCCCTGCCGCTTAGAGGTAACTTTGTTGCCATCAAAGATTATACAGCTCCAAACTGGTACTTCATAAAATACACAATTTCTCATGTGAATGGAGTAGAAAAATTCATCCGTCAGACATCAGATTTTTAAGTGTGAGGTATCCAGTTTATCCCTAGAATTGCTGTGAATGTGTTGTTCCTTTTTTCTGAATTTGGCTCAAGAGAAATCTTTCAAAAGGGAAAGAATGTCAGAAATTTCACTGCCCACAATAATTCATCATTTTGTTTCCATTCACGGGTCCAGACGATAATTGTTATAAGGGAAAGGAAGGCTCCAACTTCATAAGTCTGGCTTCAACCCCCCCAAAAAAAATATGGAAACACAATGCTAATGTGTGTACAGAACCAGATGGCAGCAAGGCTATGAGTGATAGGCAGCATATTGTAGTGACCTGCTATTCTGCACAAAGGCAAGAGCAAGATAGATGTCAATATACAATATCCTCAGGATAATGACATGCTTTACCCAGTGATACTTGCGTGGGTTATGCACTGATGATGGAGTTAGGAAGGAGGTTTCAATCCGTGTAGAAAACATGCTGGACCCGTGTAATTTGGAGACAAGGGTGCACTTTCAAGAGACATAATATCCATGCAGTTTGAAGCAATTTCACCACATAGGACCCGTGTTTTCAGTGCTTGTGTGAAAGGACCTTTCATCGTTTTTTAAAAGAGATGAAGGAAGGTAGAATGTGAACAAACTTGCAAGACTCAAGCAATGGCGAGCACCCCATATCAGCACCCTCTACATCGGAAGCACCATCACACTGATTAGACTGCTGGGTTGCATTCCCAGGGCAGGCTTCAGGTAACCTGACAATTCCCAAAGATTACTGTTGTATCAACCTAGAAAAACACAAGTGAAAAGAAGCAAATGTCAGATGCTAGGAAAGTAATCAAACAGGGTCACTTCTGTGATTGTTTACTGCAGTGTGTCAATGGCAAGAACGAAAGCCATAACCACTCAGAATTTGATGCCGACACACGCTAAGACGTAACCTTTTCATACAAGATTTTCTCAGTCCAAACACTGCGCGGTATCTTTGATAAGTGACAGTAGATTGCCTTTGATAAACCTTTGACAAAAATATGTAAGATTTGCTCCAATTTTCTTAATGACTCAAAGACTGTGGCTTATGATTCATAGCATCAGGTCCTTTTATTTTCCTTTCATACAAAATAATACTGACTGCTTTGAATGGTGTAGTATAACTAGCTTTCTCCAGGTGATCCATGGAATGGAATGATTTTCCTGAAGCAAAGCCGAGGAAAACTAGAAAACTCCATGGATCACCAACAGAGACTAGTTTATAACACCTCTCCCACAGATTCTCTTTAAATGTAATTGGTAACTGATTTACTTGATAAAAACACAAATAAAAACTATATCTATTTGAAAAAACATGTAGTTGAAAATCAACCAACACTTTTCCAAACTACTTCTTTGCAAAATAGCTGAACCAAACTCTTGTTGTGCAAGGTCTTTGCAATGCACGTAATAAGCAGTGTGCACCTCGGTATGCATTTGCACAAAATGCCACTGGCAATGAATACAGTTCTTTGGTAACTGCGGGTATAGTACCTCAGTTGAAACAAGTAGAGTTCTTTTGGACGGGAAATGCCAGATAGCACTAAAGTGAAATCCACGTGACTGGTTCTTGGCCAATCAAGATAGAGAATCTGTGGAGGGTTTTGTCCAACCTTCTGATGGCATCCATCATAGCAAGCATTACCCCTTTTTCTTTGCTCGAGTTAGTTCAATATCTGTGCTGTGTTTGCCCAACCCACTTCAGATCAAGGATGGCACGTATTCAGTACAACCTATAGAAAAAAGGGTAAAGCATATCTATCAATGGCACTACTCAGTTCAATTTACAGCAGAACTACGTTTCAATGTCAGAAGAATTCTTGGCCCTTTAAAATAGTACATGATCATAACTTGTTAGCAAGTAAACTTGATACATGGAATTGAGCCAAAAAGAACATGAGACGGTTACATTATCTCACAAAATTTTGAACACTGAAATATTTTTAGGGTGAACAAAAAAATTGTCTTTGAATACAAAATAGTTTTAAAAGGAATTCATATACAGTCACATTGATATTTTGTAAATTCACAATGCAAAGTACTTTGAAAAGGCTGACTTAAAAATAGACTGACAGCAAATTCAGAAGTACATGTAAAGTCTAAAAATTTTTCAATAAATAAACAATGAAACTCACAATAAAAACAACAGATCTTCATACCAGGAGTAACAGGCAGAGGTGGTGTCTTGACAACATTCTTGACAACTGCGCATACATCTGGAACCAGCCCATCTCCCATAATAAAAAAATAATGTAGTATTCTGGAAAAGGGATTGGTTTCCAATAATAATAAAAATTTCAGTATTCTAATTTATCCTTTGACATCCAACAACTTCCCCTGCAGAAAATCTGCACAATATGGAACACCATTGCTGAGCCCAAGGACTTGTCTTTAGTGTTCTGTGACGTCCATAATTATGTGGACACTGAGTTTTGATTGTTACTGGATTTAAATACTCAAGAAAGCCTCTCTGAGTGTGCCAAAGGCAGGCTCTTTACTACTGAATAAAACACAGGTAATACTTGTGACTTTTCGGGTGCTTGATTTTAAGTGAAAAGTGGAATTAACCAATCTATACAGTAAAAGTAAATCACCTAGTTCCCAAAACCTCTCACAAACCCAGTACAACTGTGGTCTATCCAAGCATTATTTGATATGATTCACTTGGACTTCAAGCATTATCTTTACCATACCCGTGTAACTGATGATCAGTTCTTTCAAGGAGCTGCCCTGGAAGAGACAGTGCAATCACTCACCCATGGAGTCCATGGCACACTGTGAAAGGTACTTTTGTGGGTGAGTTTCTGTCCAAAAAAAACCAATTCAAATAAGCTTCTTGTCGTGGATTGCATGTCACAGACCAAATAAAAGCACAGGTGCAATGAACCTGAATAATCTTCCAACCACTTTTTACAGCCCATGACAATTAAATATTAAGAGACAAAAAGTTACACAAGTTACCAAACTGTGCATATATATGTTCTAGTGTTTTTTTTTAGAAATTTTATGAAAAGCCGTTGCAAAATTCACAGTCAACCATTACAAAGTTATTTTTGTGTGTTAACCATTTCTTAAGTTTGATCCTTACATGTAAACTTGTTTCTCTGAATTTCAGAATCCGTGTCCACATATGTAATTTTAATTATAATTACAATTATATGATTCCTGTCACAAATTTTGACTTTTGAAAAAAAACAAGACACAGCAGCCTGGATGTACTTTTAATATACAGCTAAAGTAGTTGTTGACTTAGAGTCATTTGAATAATACAGAGCAGCGTCATGATAACGAACACAATATACAATACAATATGTAACAACATTCACGCCAAATTCCCTGAAGCAATTACCAGTTACCCACAAATCCATTCCCCATTTAAAGGGGGAGCAACCTGCCTCACAATCTTTTCTGAATGAGGAATTGGGGCAAACATTTCCAATGAAGAGATCAAGTTAAAAGAAGTAACACTGAAATACATGTATGTGGATTTTCTTCAAGGCATTTCTTCCATATCTCACCTTCAGGGTAGTTTTCAGTGGAAGTCAAACCCCGAAATAAAAAAGGTTTGCAAGTTTTCCTTCAGTCATCTCTCAAAAATGCTGTATGGTCATGGTAGTATCCCTTTCTAACATGAAGCTTTAATAGATGTGTCGGGAACCATCAATTGAAAGGAAACAAAACTATGTAATGAAGATTTCTGTAAGTTTAGTGGCAAATATTAATCTCCTGGCATGTGTACTTTCCACTTTAATTTTTTTACAAGGTAAAAATCTTTACCTCTCTAGTGATAACCAGCAAGAGTTTCCACATCAGCAATATTCCCATATTGCCTCCAGGTACTCAGTGGCTGGTCTACACAGCCACCCATTCACACATTACACATGTGCCTATGAATGATGCAGATCATGCCGGGTGCTGACAGTGGTTTCTCTGAAAGTAAAATTGTCCTTAGGTTTCAAGTCATTACCATCAGTCCTTTAGATGTTTCTTTTAAGTAAAGCAAAGTTTCCATGTTCAGTAAATGTACACAGAAAATTCAGGAGCCAAGAGGTACATGTTTGTTCAATATACCCAACTGTTATAGCAGTGTTGATTACGCATGTACCAACGCTGAATTGTAGGATATTTCTTCCTGCGATCTTGTATTTTTCAACACTCTGGGACACAACCAAGAAGCAATATTTGCTACCAAAAGAGGCCAACAACAGTGGCTAAATTCAAGTTCAACATACACTGTACCTCCACACACTTCTCAGACTTTGTGTGCAGGCACAGATAAAACATCAGCCAGAGTTGGTGAGACAGGGCAACTGCTGTGGCTTATCCCATCAGATACATGTATGTCTACATATACAGATAGCTTGATCCTATTTTCATATGTCCTCTTACGTGAAGAGATTCAAGACAGTCTGTGTACTTGCACATCCAATCATTTACCGGACAATCTGTAATGCCATTACCCAAGACTTCAGGACATACAAGCAGAAGACATAGCCATTGACAACTTTACCTGATGTAGGTCGTTCTGATGCAGCCATCAGATGCAGGAGAAACTCAAGTTCTTATTTATGAGGCATGTTCCAGCATTCTGTCAGGGTTGTGCTGCACATAAACATGCTGTAGTGAGGGAACACAAGACAATGTGCATTAAGCACACATTAAATAAACTGTATGAAACATCAGTCTGAAAATATAATCTAGTTCATGCCGGAAGTGACGGGAGTGTGGAACCGGCTTAGACTATATGTATACCCATATGACCCCTCATATTTTTGTTGTAAACCTCCAATGAATATTCATTCAGTCTAAGATCTTTCAAGATGCTGTAGTTAAACTACATGTACAGAGGTTCATCCGTTCACGGAACGGAATGACCCGCTTTTTCATTGCTTTTTATCCTTGCATATCAATTTTCATTTGACAGCTCCCTTTCGAGCTATCTACCAAATTTCAAACCAATTGCTTATGTATTTCAATAGACATAAGGCTCTAAGGTACCTTTAATGTTACATGACTTGTCACCTGATGACGTCATTATCACAGCAGTTCAATTTCTCTTGAAAACACTTCCCTTTCTCTCTACAAAGTTTCATTCCAATGAGACGTGTGCTTAAGGAGACTCATGTACAGGACTCTATAATAATAATGAGTAATTGACATTTATAAAGCACAGAATCCATTAAGCTGCTCCCAGGCGCTGTACATCAAAATATAAATAAATAAATAAAACCTACATGTAAAATCGTTAATATGAAACAAAAAATGCTTGTTTAAAAAGGTGCGTCTTCAGCCCGGTCTTAAAACTCTCCAAATTCCTAGACTCTCTAAGATGAACTTCAAGCTAGTTCCAGAGATGGGGACCAGCCACAGAAAACATCCTCTCACCAGCAGAAGACTGCCTAGTTTTTGGAAGAGTAAGCCTAGATGAGTCCAGCACGGAACGAGTGAATCGACAAGCAAATCACTTAAATAACTTGGAGCACTGTGGAGGAGACATTAGTAAAGATCAGGAGACATACTTACCCAAAAATTACCCAATATTTTACTGGCAACCAATGTAATCGCATCAGCGCAGGAATAATGTGGTCAAATTTCTTGCCATTAGTGGTGTCAAAGCTTGACAGGGGCTGCCAAGACAACAGGCCAAAAAAGAATTTTCAACAAGTTCAGTTTCTGTCCTTTCCTCTATAGCGAATACAAGTAGACAGTGTCATAATTCAAGGTACATGTACACACATGTTCCTTGTATTTCTCCTTGAAGCACGGTTACAATTTTGAGTTTTGAACAATTCAAGAAATAAAAACTGACTTTAGACATTGTTATTCTGACATGAAACAAACCTGAAACTAGCAAATATGAAATTTCATTTGACATTCACAGTCATACATGTACACAGGTATTTAGAGTCAGCATTTGAAAAGTGGTAAATATAAAGTTGAAAAATAGTAGAATATTTTCAAAATTAAAAATATCTTCATTGGCTTCCCTTTAATCAGATATAAGTACATGCACATGGTGTAAATTGGAATGCAGTGAGTATGCAACAAACATCGCTGTGCACATTTATGCATGCATGTATTACAGTGACATACGTGTAAAACTTTCCTGAGACAAGAAAAAATGGCCTCATGGAAACTCACCCCTTTACTGCCTTAATGAATTTCCTGCTCCATCAGTCAAACGTTCATCAGTACACCCCGTCAACCTGAATGGTGTCCTTTTGTGACCACCAGATGAGTGACAAAGTGGAATGGCTGGGCATGGTCTATCTGCTGGCTCTCTCCCAAGACAGCACAATGGTGTCAGTAGACCAGCATAGATGCGTTCTCATTGTACATGCAGTCCTGATGAAAAGCAACAAAAGAAGAACAACTTTAATCAACTGATTGTGGATGATTTACACACACATGTACATGTACCCTGTATTCAACCAAAAAGCTAATACACTGGTATCTCCTTACTTCTCCAGAAACATAACATTTCAGTCAGGAATTTTATAAAAGGAAAAACCAGTTATTTCCAAATATAGAACTTCATCAAAGTCATCAAAATAAAACACCCATTTATAATGAATATACATGTATTATACACCAAAGAAAGTAAAAATGTTCGTTTAAGTGACTGGGTAGGAATTAGAGCATATTTGTTTTCTTCAAGAATGAAGGGTAGAATGTATACATGTAGCTGTGGAATGGGCGGAGGAATGTGTACTGGAATTTTTAGTGGTACAAGAAGCATACCCTTGCAGGCGGCACTTCATGTTGGCAGGGATGTGATTGGAGGATTGTGAAAAAACTGAAACTGTGAGCACAAAGCGCGAAGCCATTGCGGTATTGGGTTTAAAGTTTAAAAGTTTAAAGTTTAGATGCTCAGAGATGCATTCTAATTAAGCCTCTTTCGGGGATGTTTTAAGCAAAAATATTTTGTAATTACTGCCCCTTATGAAGTTATTTTGTATTGTAATTTTAGCAACCGTGGAAAAATCAAGCATTTTTATTTCTAATTTCATTTCGTTTAAGGATCTCAGTCCACTGGTAAGAAAATGTGAACTTTTTAAAGTTGTTTTGCACATAAGTTCCACTAAAACAAAACAGGAGAAGCCTGCAGCCAATGGATCATGCATGTGTTGCCATCGTTCTCATGTGTGAGTAGTCAAATCATGTGCGTACGGTTTCCACAGCGGTGTACGTACATGTATGTACGACGCTGGGCTCGATACGATCGCTGGGTTTCATATTTTACTCACATATAATGCATGCAAAATACCATTTGGGCTAGGGGTCTTGGAAAAAGCACATAAACACAGACCCCTTTGATTATATATCTATATTTAACTCATTTAAGTAAAAAGAGTAATTCCCCAGCACCAGTTATCAAGGTGTTAACATCTATATCTTGGGCACAAAAAATGGCTGGAATTGATGATCCAACAGTCTTTTCACTCGTACAGTTTACTCTAGAAGGCCTTAACAATGGCTCTCTTAACCAATTGCACAGAAAAGGCCAGTACCTGCATCAGTTCTGAAGGAATCCATAGATTCTTACTTGTATAATGTAAACAAAGTAGCACATCTTATGACCTTGAGATCAGTTACAATGTGTCTTTTGGCATACACTTTTTTTTTACGATTTTGTGAACTTGCTCATATCAAGATTTCTCATGTTTCTGTGGTGGTCAAACTTTGTCAAGTCTAGGGTTCTCTCAGGTTTCCATACCGCGCACTTTCTCACAAACCCTGAGTGTTCCTACTACATGTAGTTCAACATAGCCCCGACATAATATTTAAATCGTTGCATTTTCTGTGTAAAGTGGCCCCAGCGCTTGTTCATTGTCATAATCATAAATTAACCATATCCTCATCAACATTAATCTGCTACAATGGGTTCTAGTCCATTAGTTCATACCAGACATATATAAACGTATTCTTGTACGCTACGCTTACGTGACACACTTCGCCATGGCATATGTATGTGACAATCTGCCTCTCTCTAGCAGGAGTTTGTTCTGTCAGAATGTAAGTTCACATTTGTCCTAAACGTTTTGGAACTTTTATCATTCATTTATCGTTATGCACAGTTCTGGCCTGTTCGCATTGACAG